AGCTTACCTCCACGTGGTGCACCCTGGGCAACGTATACTTACACAACAAAAAGTCTATTACCTGGCAGTTGACTTCTGACTTCTAACTACCATAACCTTAATGTATGTCGAATTCAACCGCTTCAACAATACTAACCTCACCTTTTCTCTGCCTTTGTGTCTGTCTGTCTCTTTTACATCTGTAAATCACTCTTCTGTTCCCCACCCCTCGACTTCCTGTTACTTTGATATTCCTTCCCCCTGTGAAGCCCGAAGTCAGCTAAAGGGCTAATGATAACTATCAAAACGCCTGCCATTTAAAATAAATAAATATTTAAAGGTAAGTTTGTAGCAAATACTTGCCTATAAACGTACGATTGACCACAAGCTGTTAAATTATAAATTCAACAACAATCGTGCCGCCAGAAAAGTAGTAAAAGGAATCAATGGCATCATAAACGACAACAACAGCCTTAATTCGCCTGAAGTCATTGAATCTAATCCGATAATAGGAAGGAATATGCAGTGCGATTCCTTTGAAAGAAACTTATTCGTGAGGAGAGAAGGAGCGAGGCTTGAATTTACAGAGTATCAAGGCCAATTGAATCAAGGAAATTTTTAATGGATACTGAGAAATCACATAGATGGCAAAATGTGCAGTTAAATATGAAGAAGTAGGAGGAGGATGCAGAGAAAAGTTCACGACTGCATCACCGCGTATCAAATGCCCCCCCCCCCCAAAATATTTCCATTTGCCTAGCATAAAACCCCAAAGAAGTCGATTCAGTTTGCACTAACAATATGGCAACTTTTGTCTGATAATTTATCTGATGCTAATCAGCATGTTTATATATATGGACACAACAAACCTCTATCAGTAAATGAATAGCCGAGATAATTTGTACAGGAGTGTAAAGTAATTAGCGTATGCACATGTGTATACCTTATGTTTCAAGGCGGTGAATTCGAGCGGTTAAATTTTGAGAATGATTTCCACTAAATGGGAAAGGACCTCTAAACCTTACTAAGGGATGGTTAAATTCCAGGCACACTTAAGACCTTTTCCAACGCTCAGCTTAGATAAAGAGCAATATTATGGACGTCCCCTCCCCATCCCCCCCCCCCAACCTGGAAGGAAACTGGACTACTCTCAAGCTCTCTGAAAGTCAGGCTTAACCATTGCTGCTGGCCACTCGTGAAGTGGGCATGCTCCGATAGGAATTGAGCCAGTAACCTCCGATATAATAAACGCGCAGTGACCAATGGACCACCGACGCACTAGTAGATAGACTTTTCCCAAGGCTAGAGAGAGAGATTGCTCTTTTAAGCTTCTGCGAATTTCATCATGCAAAAGTGAGGATTGAATAGGGAGTAGAAAGCGAATGAGTAGAAAAGTCAGTGATAGAAAGAAAAGAAAAAACTGGCTTTGAAAACCCAGAATGTGAAAATCCATTGTTGTTCGGCACAAGGTAGCTACAAGTTGTCGTGCGATAACATATGATCCCAAGTCAATAGGGCATATTACTAACAGCTTCAGTTATTAAAGCATCGTGACGAGACTGAAAGCAATGTTAGCAGAATGTAAAGCAAATTACCCTCACCTCATCATAAGCATCCGCGACACGACCAGCATAAAGAGTTAGCTGCTTAGTTCGATCCTGAAGATGCGTCTCGTAGTAATCGACAAGAAGTTTCTCCTTCACTGAAGGTGCATCCTCAACTGGGAAATTAAATGAAGGGCAATTCAATTCAAAGCCCGACGTCTAAAACCAGAAAGGCATTGAAGTGAACAAACTGGCAAAAGTGTGAAAGAGATAATCAATTTCTTATCGACGCTTATCCTGAGAACGGCACGTGGCTAACTGGGTTAATCAATGCCAGCTAGGAGAGGGAAGGTGAAATAAAAATTTCTCATCAGAACAAGTTCAGAAAGCAACGCCAATGCTTACAATAACTGCTTAGAAACTCGCACTGAAGAAATGAGCTTCACTGAGTACATATAATTCTAGATTCTTTAAAATTTTTAGAAGTAAACCGATTGCCTATTTATTATCACTACTATAAAGCTTATCGAAGGAGGTTCCATTGAGACAGGAGTTAACGACACTCAACTTTGGCAGAAGGAAGACACCATGAAAATATCAACGTTAGGAGTTTGCATTCAATCGCTCTATTTGGCCAACAGGGACAGTGGTATACTATCGAAGCTAAAGTGTTAAGGCAATTTTTAAGGAAAGTTTTATAAACAACCGGGGACGCGATTAAAGCATAGGGCAGACAAAAAGTTCTATCAGTTTCATATAAACAGATGCATATGCACAAGTGTTTCGCTGATGCAAAGCCAAAAAACCTACCACTTGTTGAGATAGTTGATTGCGTCGTACTTCAAGCCGTTGCTTCAACGACATCTCAGCTAATTGGCTTTCTAGTTGAGATATTCGCTCAAGGAGAATCTTCTCCCTTTGAGATAACGTGTCGGGGGTACTTTTGGAATCTGCTAAGCCAACAATGGGGAGGGAATGCTTTCGTGGGGACACCTCTGTGAATGAATGAGTCAAATTTGGCGTTGCTTTCGTGGTGTAAATGCTTTCTTTGATGTCTGGAGTTTGAGGATTTCGAAGGCTTTCACCTTGAACAACGGCGGAAAGTGGTGGTGGTGGTGGATAATGAAGAGAGGAAGAAAGACCTGAGAAGCCATTATTTTTAATTTGAGGTGCATCTCTTTCCATCTACAAGGGCAAAACAGCTTGAAAATTTGTGCAAGCAACCAAATGAGTAATATAACAGGAAAACCATAGGTACCTGATAGTAATAACTTGAAACTCACCTGAGTAAAGCGAAATGGCTCATTTTTTTGCAAATTCCGTTGACTTTATACACGGCTACTAAGAGCAAAGACTCTCAGATCAAATAATGATAATTGCGTAGAAAGCAAACGCAAAGTGATGGTCAATTTATTTGTGCAAATAAATCATCACGATTGTTAAGCTAAGTCATGGGTGGTGAATACGAAAATAGTGAAAAGTAATGATTCTAATAACATGGATCCTTTTAAAGCTAAAGGAGATTATAACTGAATAACAAATACGGTGAAGTCAATAGCTACTATTATCCCAACAAGAGAAGATTTAAAGATACAAAAATGGAAGGATAGCTGTGAAATCACAGATAAAATGAGTTAAGCATTGTACTTGGAGAACGGAAAGGGCAATATAAGGGGCATCCCTTTTGAGAACCTCACACCCGGTCTTCATTCTTTGGGTAAATTAAACAGTACAAGCACATCACTCTCAACGACCTCTCACTTAGCAGACATCAGAGCTGACCCCTGCACCATCGGCACATTTCGAGTATCATTAGACAATTTACGCAACCAAACATTGAATACCTAATAATATACTCACTGAAATAAAGAGAACTACATTAATATATTTAGATTAGGATGAGGGGAAGGGTAGATAATGCAATTGTACCGTTTGTGAAACTTAAATAAAGCAAAATCTGGTCAAAGTGATTAGCTGATGAAACTTTTATTAATTGGCATCGGAGTTACTTCTAAAGACACCTGCTAGTAGAATATTTCAATTGAGTGAGTAAATATAAAACCAATATAAAAGAAAAATGAAGATAAAAAATTATGACTAATGATATTAAAAATGAGCTTACATCTTGTAAGCAGAGGGCATCAAGGGAAGATGATGCCGCATCTACGGAGGAAGATGATTGAGTAAATGGGGATAAATTAGGAAGAGGAGTTTGAACTGCCACAGAAACACTCCGTCGTTCAGAGGATTGGGAATTCGTCGATTCCAGTTCTGCTATTCTTGCTAAGAACTGTGAGGACTGCGCAACCAACTAACAAGTTATTTTAATAAAAGCGAACAAATTTCAGAATTACATCCTCATGGAGTCTGTTAACTTCTGCCATAGCGGCTTTGAGAGCGTCGTCATGAATTTGATTATCAATTGAATACTCATTAGATGCTGAGCGACCATGTTTTTGATTTACAGCTCCAAGTTGCTTTTCAAGAAAAGCAGATTGTTCAAGAAGGTGCTGATTGTGGAAGATAAGGCTTTCTTTTTCATGTTCGAGATTCCGCATATGAATGCTTTGATCTGTGAGTTTAGATTCAAGTTGTGTTAGTCGTTCAGTTGACTCTTTGCAGCTATCTTTCAGAACACGATGCCTTTCTCTTAATTTCTTAAATTCAACACCAAGCCGAGCGTATTTTGAACGCAATGCTTCTTCTTCGTACGACTGATCTTTATATCAGGAAGGCAGTGAATAGTCAAAAAATATAAACACCATTAAAAGAAGGATCAATATATGGCATTTACGCCGTCAAAACATATTTGATACATAGAATTAATATACGAATATTGATGAAAATATGATCAGATGTAATATTGGGGAAATTGAAGCATACCTTGAGCGCTCATTGTTACGAAAATTGCCCAAAATTAACTTGGAACGAACAAGGGCAAATAATCTCCTTAGATATGTCAAATAAAAATATAAACAATGACGAGCCCTAACTAAACCATCAGCTGACACCAAGCAGAACCATAAAGAGTGCGCCAGTATCAGTGTGTTGAGTGAAATTGGATATACAAAACCTTTTATTTAGTATTTTTAATAAATCCTCTAATTTTTTAATCTTTTAAATTATATACTTTAATAATAAATGGCTGAAATTGCAGATCAGTGCAACAAATTTTTAACTAAATCTTTATGAAAAGTCATACTATTTTTAGCTTAGGGTTTTATTTATATCCTAAATAATAAAGTTATCATTATTTTTTATTGTATATTTTTGAACATCCGGTCCGTTTTGAATTTCATTTACGTCTCAAATTTAAATAAGAGCAATGGTGCCATTCTTAACTCAAGACCTTTCTTAGTTAAAGCTGTGAATTAATTTCTTAGGATGTGATATTGGTCGAAGTAAGTAGTGCAGTCGCTATTAGTTAAAAGCAAGGCTGACCAAGAGGAATAATTTAAAGTATGGAAACATGAAATTCGTCATAGTAACTTAGTCTTTAATCAACACATTATTGAAGTAACACGTTTATGAAATTTGAATATTTCATCTTCTAAAAAAGCGGTATGTGGAGTTTGATTCAGTAAGCAAATATTTTTCGATCACAGACATTTATTTATATCAAATGGCAGGCGTCTTGAGGGTTATCATTAGCCCTTTAGTTGACTTCAGACTTCACAGAGGAGAAGGAACATCAAATTGAAAAAAGTCGAGAGGTGGGGGACAGAAGAGTGTTTCAAAGATGTAAGAGACAAACACAAAGGTAGAAAAATGTTAGAAGAGTGCTGTGGAAATAGTCGAATATGGCATAGAGTGAGGTGGTGGTAGTTTGAAGTGAGAAGTCAACTGCCGGTTTATAGACTTTTTTGCCGCATGAGTATACGTTGCCCAGGGTGCACCACGTGGAGGTAAGTCTATCGCACACCCCTTGATCACAGACATAGATCATTGAAAAATTCTTTTAAATTCTTTACTTTTAAATTGCTTCTGAAATACTGCGCGATGGCTTCAAATTATTTATAATTATGATACGAAGCTTGATGATTGTTCGCAAATCAATAAGCATAATATTCTTTTCGTTAATTCATCTAACGAATCAGCTCTAAGGCTTCCGAAGATAGCAATTCATCTTAAGTAGAACTACTTACTTTGTCTGACTGAGCTAGTGCTAGAGACTGTCCCATCAAAATCCAGTAAGCTGGAGGGCTATTAGCAGGTCGGATATTAACTGGACGAGTAGCATATTGTTATGAAGGCAGAAAAGTGAAAAGTGGGAAGGGCGGATAGGATAGCAGCCATTTTCCTTTCAAATCATTTTACAGAAGGGATTTCTCAAATTAAACTTTAAATGAACGCTATTCATAACTTGTATCAACTGGAGATTGCTAAAATTCCTAAAACGCTTTAAATAGCACTTTTGCATAAATTCATACAGTTTGAAAGTTACATTTTTTTGCCGTCAAATGTAACAGTAGATCTATTCTTACTGTATCAGCGTTTTTCGGCTGATAAATAACGTTTATGGCAAGCAATTCATGCTGCCATGCGTTGGGCCAAGATTTACTTTTAATAAGTAAAAATGAATAGTGTATTGACATTGCCATGCAATTCAGGTATAAAGTGAATTCATGCCTGAATTCCATACTTATTTACTAGAGTGTATTTCTATCTTTTACAGTGGTTGATTTTTTCGTTACCTTCCAGAAAACCAAAGCACCGGATTAAATGCAAAAGTCGCCATCAGTTATATCATATGGGATGATGTAATAAATTTCTTACTTACAGTATGAAAAAAATTGCAATTTTTATTCGCAGTATTCGAATGACATCGAACTAACGCAAGTGTAAAAATTGATAAAGCGGAGGGCTTCCAAAAGGCTAAGAGACCAGCATCAAGAAATTGAAGGTTCTTATTTCATTCAAATTTTTGACTCGCATTGCCTAATGTCCACAAAATAGGTGGTTGACGTCACGGAATTAAAAAATTAGACCCCCATTTCGACAAGCTGAATCACGTCGCCATTGAAATCAACCCAATCATTAAGCCTGAAGACAATGCTTCAAGATTAAGGTATTTGTTGAACCTTGATATTACTCTTAGAGGTCTCGCTAGCTGTGGATACGAACATGTAGTTTAATTCTCCCAGAACTAATTAGGCCACATCCAATGTGGCGAAAATGCCAAAGGCAGAGAGCTTAAGGGGTTAATTGAAAAAATTTATTAGCTCCAAAAATATGCGATTAAATACAATCAACATTGTTCTACGTTGAATAAAATTGACCATCTACTGGCTGGGAAGTATGTGCACGCAAGTTCACGCTTACTCGCTAAGGGATTAGTAGCACGTCACGCTTTACGGAGTGCTCTAGCGCAGGAGATTTCTTTGATCGACCCCCCACCCCACAGACTCATTTAACACCCTCCCTTTAATATTTGCGTGCAAGCCAATCTCTCCCTCTCTCTCCCCATAGTCAAATGGAAATAAGCGGCAATTTATTCAAGTTTAATCAAATACTCTAAAACCAGTGGCCATCTCATAGGGTAAATTAGGGAACTGTGCTATAGGTAGCTACTTAGGCGTAAATCACAATTAAAGATTAAATAATCTAACTATTAATCAGCACGCAGTTAAAAAAAGGAATTGAGGAAACGAGAGTCAATATGAATTTTCCCATTCGTCTAAAATGCGGTTTGGCCAAAAGATAAAGTACTTCCAATGTGATGTTTATCGAGAGGAATGATGAAGGTGATCTGGGAAATTTCTGTACCAAAACCAAGATTTCTACATTGTGAGCGATATCTGCGATTAGAGCCTCAGTCTTTAAAACTATTTATTCAGCTGTCACAATTGCTCAAATGGAGCTCGACTGCTCAGAAAAGTGGGAGGAAATTGGTATTGCTGTTAGCTTTCAAGAGCGAAAATGTGGAATCTGCCCCGTTAAGTTCAGCTCACTGTTGTCTAGTTTCAGATGAATACGTACAAGTGAATTTATCGAAGCCAAAAGGTTCAATGATGTTTATTGAACTTTATGAGCAAGATTTTTTCTCACCATGTTGCAGAGAACAGAAGTAAACTACCTTGCATTGTTCATTTACTCACCTGACCATC